TGTTTCCTCTCCCCGCCGTTTCTGCCCTCCCGGTGAATCGCTCTGTGAAGACACGAACGCGTTTCGCTCCCGGAGGGTGGCGACGGGACTCCGCCAGCCTCTCTGGTCGGCCTGCGTCTCGCCTCGGGCCTGGTGGTGTTTGCGGTGTAGGCCTCGGCACCATGGATCCGTTTTTGTCCCTGCTGCACGCTTTCTCTTCGAGCTTGTCGGACACTGAGCTGTCCTCCCTGAAGTTTCTCTGCCGGGACAGAATTAGCAAAAGGAAGCTGGAGTCTGTGCGAAGTGGCAGGGAGCTCTTCACCATCCTTCTCGAGCAGCAGGATATTGCGAGAGATAAGGTGGATTTTCTTGAAGAACTGCTGAAAGGCATTAAAAGAAAAGATTTGGTCGCACAGCTGAACCAGTTTGTAGAGGAGGGAGGAATTAATACTTCTGATGACCAGCTAGATGAGCATGAAAAACGTAAGTGGATTACTTTTTTATACACACACACACCCAGTAACCTCAGTAAACCTGTACGCATCCTCTAGCTGTGGATGTGCCTAGAGCAAACACCGAGCACAGCTGCCCTCAGTTACCAGCTGTAGCTGAGCCCCCTGCGAAGGGTACTTCCACTAGTAACTGCTGCACAGAACTGTGATGTACCCAGGAAGTAGCACGTCCTGCAGACAGCTTTCCAGGGTGAAAATTTTTTCACTTTTTCTATCGAATAGTTGCTTGGAAATCACGCTATATACTTGGGGTTCCTAGTATGTCCAGTGGCTTTTCAAAACATGCTGTGACTTTCAGTCTGTGTGATGCAGCAGTAGTAGCATTTTGCTAACACTTCCCCTCTTCCTCCCCCTCCCCCAGCTTCTAAAGTTGTCTTGTAGTTCTTAGTAAATTTTTCACTAACTTCATATATTTCTGCTGTTTCAGGTTGTCAAAAGGTAGCTATTGAAGTCATATGTAATAATGTTGGGAAACACTGGAGAAGGCTGATGAGAAAACTTGACCTTTCTGAAGTGCAGCTGGACAGAGTAGTGGAAGCCCATCGAGGTGACCTGCGTGAACAGTTGGTTCAGGCACTTCGGGAGTGGCAGAGGAGCAAGGGAAAAGATGCAAAGGTGACTGACTTAATAAAAGCTCTTCGGGCCTGTGAGATGAATTTGGTGGCAGACAAAGTTGAACAGGAGCTCTTGGGACTGAACACTGGAACCAGGTGAAATCAGTAAAAACACCCAAACACTTCCGGGTCTTACAGATGTGGATGAAAATTGTAAAAGTGCCTTCTCTTCTGAACCAAAATCACTATTATTGCTTCTCCTACTTATTCTGCCGTTAATAGGTTGATTTGTGGTCAGGTGAAGATTAACATAAAGCCAAATTCCTTCCAGGTAATGCTTTGTAGTTTAGGGTTTCCTTTAAGAGATTTTAACTTTTAGAAGGCCTAGACTTCATTTTGTAGAAATTATCACATTTTTTGGTCTACCATCCACCTGAAAACACGATTTGCTTTACTGTGGGTACTTTCCAGATATGTCTTCTCTGGAAATACATCCATGGGACACTTCTGAGGCAACTTTAAAGTTTCATGAAGAAGTTGAATTTTTTTTTTTTTAGGTGTGTTCTGACTGTAGTGTGAACATGGGAAGGAGTAGACCCCTTAGCTGTGAACTGGAATTTCTTTTTGAGTAGCATAAGATAATATCTTCCATAATTTGCCAGATCCATTTGCTCTCTGTAAAAGGGTGCTAGGCTGACTGTAACCTCAGGCCCCAAGACTGCAGTGCAGAGGTGCTGCCAACTACTGTCGTGCCTTTTTCTGGGCAGAAAACATGCCCAGGTTGAAAATCAAATGTTTGAAATCCAGATGTCTGTTGTCAAGTGCCTTCATCATCCAGAAGGAAATGCTCCCCTGAAGCTATCAAAGAAATTGTGTGTCTCAGAGAAGTTTACAGCAGCCTCTTTTGACTGCCACAAATGTCTGAAGCTTTCCTGGGAATCCTTGCACAACCTAAGGATAGCAAATTGCACAAGCTTCAAGACATGCAGAGGCCTCTGGGGACTGTCCCCTATGCAAGGGGGAAGAAGCCTTCACAGATCATTATTGCTTGAATAAGGAGGACTGTTTGTTGCTGCAAACATCCTTCTAACTACAGAAACATACTTGAGGGGCTTCTCTTTTTTGCTGCCATACTTGTGTGACTTTTAGGTCCTTTCAGGTTCTTTTTCCATGGTGCCATTGCTGTGGAGGCTGGTGTTGGTGTGTAATGGATCACTGCTCTGCATAAATGCTCTGATGGTGAAATTGTTGCAGCTGTCTCTGGTTTAGAGGATAACATTGAGTACTTGATTGTACTTCATGAAACCCACTGTACTGTGAACTTAGCTTTTCATTAAGATTTTTCCTTAAATGATTCTCCCAAGAACCATGTCCTCAAGTGCCTCGTTTACATGTTTTTTGAATGCCTCCAGGGATGGTGACTCCACCACCTCCCAGAGCAGCCAGGTCCAGTGCCTCACCACTGTCAGGAATATGCAATTTAAACTTCCTCTGGTGCAACTTAAGCCCATTTCCTCTTGTCCTATTGCTCTAGTTCCTTGGCAGAAGAGACCAACACCCACCTTACTCAAACCTCCTTTCAGGTAATTAGGAGCAGTGAGGTCTCCCCTCAGCCTCCTCTTGTTTGGAGGTTTTTGTGTAATGCATGTGGTCTTCCTTCTACAGCATTTAAGGAGAGCAATTGCTTGGTCCTTCATACACCTAAGCAACCTGTGAGCAGAATGGAGTCAGCCAGATGAGTTGTGTTTGTGTTCAGGCTGTCTGGTAACCTGTTTTTCTTATCCACTTGTACTAAGTCTTCTGGTTCACAGGAGATAGACTTATCTGGAACATGAAAAGAAGTGCACTGCCTACTGCATAGAACCAGGCTATCTTAAGAGTCAGGAGGAGGAACTTGTTAGTTGTAGCCAATCCCTCATCAACTACAAGAAATACTCTGCCTCAGAAGATAAACTCTTGTTTCCATATGGATTTGTACATAGATGTTTTACTGCATATGAAAGCAATGACCTAGACTCCCATCAATCTGTGCAGTACCTCAGGGCCAATTAAAACTTTTTATTAGAGATCAAAAAGCTGATTATGTTAGAACAAACTCAAATGGAACAAAGGGAACCAAAACTTTTTATTGGGAGGAGGGCTAAGAGAAAAGGGTGTAATTTGTAAGGAAATGTCTTGTGATCCTGTTGTTAGTTCTATTTTTAAGTGACTATCCAGATTTTTATACCTTGAATTAAAGTTCTATATTGTATAATTTTTGTCAATGCTTCCATTAAAAAATACTTAAAACCAAAAGAAATCTCCCTGCTTTTTATCTTATGGGTTTGCTGCATAGGGTGAGATCTCTTAAGTGGAAGAAGATAAATTAAGGATAATTTTCAAGCAGGCATTGTTACCAGTGTCCTTTTGGGAACGTTATTTAAAAAAAGGCAAAAGTCTTTGTCAATGAACTTCTCAGAAGTGCTAAAAAGGGCGTGGTTTCCTAGCAGGTGCAGCACTTCAACACTGCCACTCAAGTGTCAGAAGAAAGTTCTCTGTCAGCCCTCAGGAGCCTAAAATTGAGGTGCAGGGCAGAGAGGAGATGGGCCTTCTCTGAGTGGCTAAGTGCCTGACAATTGTTTTCTCTGCCAGTCATCCTGTATTTGTTTTTTAATTAACTGAAATCACAGCTTGTAGCTTACTCTAAACCTGAATTTCAGAAGCTCAATCAAAAGAGGCTTGGGTGTTGGGTGAGTTATATACTGGCACTGGAGTGTTAGTGGCTGCTTAAAGGTCTGAATGTGTGAGACCAGGAAATTAATTATTCATTTTATCCAGTTCTCTGTGGTACTCTGCAAGAGTATCTGCTTGTGAGGAATTACTGAAACCTTTTCCTTTTGGTCTTGAGAAAACAGCTCATCAAAACATGCTGAGAGTAAAAGGTGTCATCACAGGAGAATTCTGACTTCAGAGGATTATTTGCTTCACAGTCCCTTTCTGTGTTTGCCATTTCCTATGATTTTTGAAGATGCCAATTATATATCACATGCTAAGGTTTGTTTTTTAAATCACATTATTTTCATTACTGAGTTAAAAGTAATTTACTAGACTTTTAATTGCATTTCCTCTTGTACAAATTGGTTGTCATATTTCAACTGCAACGCTCTGTTTTCCTTGTTTTCTCCATTCCTCACACACAGGCAGCTGTACCTCCTCCAGCCTTTGTTGCAGTCCTAAAATAGTTGGCTACTTTCTGAAATCTAATTGCTTCACTTAACTGTCTAATGCAAAAAGCTCAGTAACATGCTGTGTCTCTGAGCTCTTTTCCACTCAGCATGTTTTTAATTCTGGCTTTTGAGTTGACTATTTTTCAGTTTCAATTTACTTCTACTCACTGCCTTTGTTCCTCTCACAATTACAAACAGGGGTTTCTGCAGTTCTTCCCACTCCCTGCATGGATCACCTATGTCCTTAAAATGTATTCCAGCTGGAAAACATTTTTCCCTCATGGATTGATTATTCTTTTCTCTGCCAGTGTTATTGCCAGGATGCATTGGTTGAATTATAGAAACTAGTTCCCTTTTTCAGCTCTATGCCATAAAAATAGGAATTGTGGGGGTGAGATGAGGGGTAGGGGAAGGAGTTTTGAGTAAAGGCTCAAGAACTTTGGAAGAATCTTTGTCCTTAAAAATTCTCAGAGCTGAGGATTACTTAATATGAAGAGGATGTGTTGAAATGGGTTCTGGGAATTGTAGGTTTAGAAACAAGGACACAGCTTTACTCAGCTGCTGGGAAAGAGCAGATTTCTGCATGGGATAAACTGACAGGCCCTCAAAGTCATTAAACGGGCCATGTTTCATCCCCAGAGCTCTTTCTGCTGCCCTTTCATTCCCCAGAGCATTGCACATTCATTTTTTAGAATGGACTAAAAGTAAAAGCACAGGTTTGTTCTTGTAAAATGTTGTGTAATACACGTTATTAAAATACGTGAGGTTGTGCATATTGGTTGAGTTTAAATTCAGCAGCTCCTGAAAAAACATTGAACTGGGATTTTCCCTGGTAGGCGTTTTATTTGCAGGTGAGTCTGAGTTTATAGAACTTCTATGTAAAGTGATAATCTCATCATTAAAAAATGCTTAAAATTTTTATCATGCTTTCTTTCCCATTTCTTAATTCTGTTATTCCTATTGATCCCCAGCAGGGATATTAACTTCAGAAAATAATGTGCAGAATTGAATAAGTGAGCACTTCTTACTGTGGGCTTTTAGAAGGGCTTTAACAGCTGTTCTGCAAGTGTACACACTACCTGTGGTAAGGATTTGTCCAAAGGGACTGGGACGTGTGAAGACTGGACTTCTGAACAAAAGTTAAATAATTTTTGTACACAAACCTGGTACCAGATTTTATATACGGTGAGCATATAAACCAGGAGAAAGGTTTGGTATAAAAATTAAGCTATGAAACTTTTCTTGTCATTTATGTCTTGAGGTTTTGAGTATATACACTTTGGAGTTCTCAAAGTTAGCTCATCTTTTTCCCACTCTTTTTTAGACTTTGTAATACCTGTCAACCACTTTTTATTTAAGATTTCCACATCTGTTAAATAAAAACTAAATATTTGAACAACGGAGCTAAGCACTGGGGGCTTTTCCCCCAGCAGTGGTGTCCCTGTGAGCTGCTTCCTGTCACTTCTGGGCATACAGCCCAATTTTGAAAAAGAAAGTTGCAGAGACAAGGGGAATTAAAAGGGTGCAGCACCTGGCAGGTCTGGGCCCATGGTTTCTGGGATCCAAATTCTCTGTGTTTTCCCTTGTTACGCTCAGTGTGAGCAGAATTTAGTCACAGCTTCCCGGCTATGAAGTCCCTGAGGTGGGAAGCCCCGGAGAGCCCGAATTCCCCCCAAAGCCTTGTTCCCATGGCAACCGCCGTGCATGGCAGTGCATGGGGCATGTGGCTGCAGCACGCTGCCTCCTGGCTGGCCCAGCCGGCTGGATAACGTCTGGGAGCTGTTACCAACTGAGATCTGCTGCGGTCTCCAGTCGGTGACCAGGTCAAAACTTGGAGCTCTGAGTAGAGGAATGTGAGATGAGGTTTCTTGACTGGGTTCTCTCCTTTGGGTTCCACTTCCCCACTGGGCCGGGGCGCGTGAGAGCGCGTGGGGCTCGACAGGAGATTTGCTTG